ACTAATCATCGATAACATCGTGGAAAGGAGATATGTTACGGAGAGTTACCGAAGGGGTTTGGAAAAAGTTTAATCTTTGAACTGCTGTGTACAGTGTTCAAATTCTTGAGCTCGAAAGGCCACAGATTCTCTTCTAGTCCCTTGGTAATTGTCATTTAACCTCATTTGTCGATTGTTGAAGACTAAGTTAAATACCACTGATCATTGGGAATCGATGCTGCTTTCATTGGGGAAAACAAAACCAAAGACCAAGAAATATTAGATGGAAAGGGCGGGCTTCCTTTATTGTAAATGTCAGCTTAGCACAGGGTTATCTAACCACATCTAATAAATAAAAGTTTCCACGTTTAGCTTTTTTTTTTTCAAGAGAAGATTACTTTAGATTTTGGCCGGGCGTGCACAAAAACTTGCGTAAGCGCCAGTTGCTCGACATACCTGCGTGGCCCGTGCGACGAAATAGCTTCACGGGATTAGAAAAGCTTCACCACATTACTTTACGCCAATTAAAATCTGCACGCTATTGTGCATTTTCTTGTACAGGAAAAACCAAACAGAATTTCTGATTCTGGCCCTTAATGGTCAGAATATTAACTAGGACTTTGTCTCTGACGAAGGAACGGCAATAAGCACAATTTTAACCTACGAGCAGGTTGTTGTTTCGTTTCGTCATGCAATGTTGGAGAGAGAGATAGCGTTGCGTGACAAGATCAAATTAGGGCTGTGGAGGGGACTGTAGGAAGCGTTGTACCAATGCAGTTTGGTTTTGCCAACAATTATTCAGACACCAGCATCAGTTATATAGTGTCCCATTTCAACCTACGTATCCAAAAAAATAACTCTTGCATGCATAGCATGGCTATGTTTGGAATGTGTTGTTATATGAACGGTTCACTGCAATAGAAATCGGGAATCATTGTGCCTGTTTTAGGCTGCATTAGGTGTCAAATCAAACAGCCTTGCAATGGACACACTTACATACTGATCTCTCTTAATTTCAACAAGAAACAAGTAACAACAGTAGTGGGTGTTACGACGCCCATGTATGCAGGGCTTGCTAGAAAAGGGTTAACAAAAGTTGCTACAAAAGTAGTTTACCAAAATTGCAAGAGGCATTTGAAGAAACTACTTGAGACCGTTTAAGAGAAATAGCAGAAAAAGAAAATGCTGATAACTTTGTGCATGTAAATTAATACAGGCCTTAGAAAATGATTTGTATATGTTGAGGGAAACAAATTTATTTTTGGCTCACTTTATTTTAACTTGGTAATTTTTTTATGGTTTATTTTTTCGATCAACTTTCTATAAAAGGGATTCAATTTATGGGGTGTGGTAAAAAAATAGGGGTATGTATTTTTAGGGGGTTCATGAAAAATTACAATTTATAAATCCCAAACTCCCCTCCCCAGTTTCTCCTGACACTCCCTTTTTTTCCTTTTGCACCCCTACCCTATCATGTTATGATCATCAGTCTAACCCCCCTTTACATCACCTATATGTTACTCTATAATTTTTTTATTTTTTTTTATTCTTTGATTTTTTACATAAAATATGTGGGATAGTTTGCCCC